AAAATTTCTGCATTATCATCACTTGCTATATCCGACCTGTGGATTTCGTTTACGATGACGGAGCGAACATGTGGTACGAAATGGTGATGTAAAAATATGTACAATTTTATCTACTACATATACTCGATACAAGCGGCGGTTGGAATGAATGGCGTAATAAACAGGTGAAGTAATAAAACAGCTTTCTCGCTTTATTTTCTAACATTCAGCTGCCTTATAGTCACAATTTTTAGGCAATCTTTCAAATAAAGCAGTGTCAAAATCTTTCTTCTCACTCTAATATTACTTCACCTGGTATAATTCCATCATGGGTGGGTGCATGCAATAATACCATACGCAATAATTCCCATTACTTGGACATTAAAAAGCAGTTTCAGAAGTGAGCTAGTGTCATTTTATTATTATTCTTTTTTCTAAACGGTTATAATGCCACCAGTGCATAATTTCGAAAGGAGGGGAGGGGGGCGGGAGACGCGAGCGCGAACGCGAACGCGGACCGCCGCGACGCTGGACACTTTCAAAATTGTAGACTTACAAATCCGTCCATTTTATTCATGTACTACTTTTTGCCAAATGTAACTGGGTGACTACCTATGTGCACTATTTTTCTTCATTGCTCAGTTGTTAAGTTTAAAAGTTGGTCTTATTGCTCAACGAGAAATGAAATAAAGCAAATTTGTGTTATTTCACATTCAATTGTACGTCTTTGCATAATCATCCTGAAGATGTGATGTGGAGTGAAATGATATATAATTATTAAAAAGTATAAGGACAATTTTGAAAATTAGCTTCCGTTAACCAATCCAAGCGCTGAGTAAGAAAGAATCTATGCAATTATAACTGGTGTTTCATGTAAAAAGCGGAACGAATTATCTGATGAAATGTTAAATACCACATGTATGTGCTTCAATTTTAAACTCGTAAAAAAATCATATTCGCTTTAACGATGCAAATAATTTGTAACAGTGATAGTTTTAAGAATTGCCAGTAAGTATACAACAATAAAAAAACATGCATGAATTAGTTTCCTTAATATAGAAAAAAGTTCTTCAAAATCTTGGGTTTTCATAAACACTGAAGCTAATTTATGAATGTTGTAGATAAAAATATACGTACATGCGAAATGCAAATGTATCTGTTAAAATGAACGCCACTAATATTTCATGCAAACACACATCGCTTAACATTTTTTATCTCGCCTCCGACACAGAATTGTTTTCGTACAAAATTATGCAAAAAAGCTTACTCGTTCGTTTTTAGGCATACTATTGTTACGAATTTCGAAAGTTCGAAGATACGATTCGGATTGCAGCATACTATTTCTACGATTCGTAGCAAAATCCGAATACGAAAGAGTTGCAGAATGGGGGTGTTAGAAAAAAGCTTTTGCCCTAACAGCGGTCGCCCCTCGGCAGGCAGTGGCAAACCTCCGAATGTATTTCTGCCATGAAAAACAGCTTCTCATAAAAACACACTCGCCGTTCGAAGTCGGCATAAAACTGTAGGTCCTTCCTTTTGTGTGACAAGGCGCATACCTCAAATCGGAGGAGAAGCTCGACCAAACACTAACATATGTGTGAAATAGAGTTTATGCACTTAGTTTTTACTCAGATCGATGAAATGATTTCGTGAATTGGACTACGCATCCATGTGATACTTATGCTTTTAATTTATAAGGTAATTTTACGTACTTTTAGTCCCCCTATGGGAGATGTCCGCTTATGGGAATTTCACAAAAAATAATATTAAAATTTAAATTTAAAAAATCTAAATTGCGGGTTCCTAAACTAAAATAATATATATCCTTCAATAGATAAAACTGAATTAATGGAAAATAAATTCAAATTTATGGCATTTCCTTTCTACCGACAAATCTCATTTCCCGCTTCGCTGAAGCAGTAAGAAGACGGCAATCTAAAGTAAACTTTTTTTTAGAAAATAAAACATTTCTGAATATGGACGTGTGTACCAGTGTTGCCGCGAATCATTTTTAGCGGTAGCCAAATTCCGTTAAAAAAAGGGCTAAAAGAGAGCTAAAAAAAGACGTTGTGGCTAAAACTGGTAGCTAAATTTTTTACTTACATACATATAAATATATAAGTATACACGCAAACATTTTCAACAAGTAATGGTATAGAAAAACAATGAAGTCTGCAAAAAAAGCCAATATTTTATCCAACCAAAAACCTTTGTCAATGTTATTGTGGCTTGTTAACATTTTTATTTTTAATATTTTTATTGAGCTTTGTACCACGATTGTTTATTAGGAAAAATTGAAAAAGCAACAAAGTCTAAGCGGTAGAAGTTATAGCATTATTTTTGTATAAAAGGGGGCCGTAAACTTATCTATTTTGAACTATAGTAGTATAAAAACGTAAGGAACATACAATACATATATGTATATATAAGTCTTTCTTAGTTTAAAAATTCATCTCGTACATAGATAAAAAAAATGATATCAAATTAAGCATATATAACTTTTTCATGCCAAGTATGAATAAATTCTCCAAAGGACTAAAAAAAGGGCTAGGGGCAATTTTAAATTTATGTGGCCAAAAAAAGTATGTTGTAGCTAAATCTAGCCACCAAAGGGCTAAAACGGCAACACTGGTGTTTACTTGTGTAATTGACCGCTCATTTTATTAGAGCTTCGCGTCCTCTTATGGGAGATTTCTTTTTCATAACTAGACATGTTTGAGTGCCCATGTTCGTTTATCGGAAAGTCCGTGTATGGGAGAGCATTTTGTATGGAAAAAAACCAAAAATTTTTCGTTCCCAAGAATGTGTCCACTTAAAGGAGATGCCCGCTTATTAGAGCGCCCGTCTATGGGAGCTTTCACTGTATATGAAATTCGCCTTGGAAGATAGAAAGCGAGTAAGAATAAATGCCGAACAAAGGAATTTGTCTTCTTTCGACTTAAGTAAATGCATTTTGCAAACAAAAGTGTGTACGTTACTTAGTTCCTTGGTAATGGCGAATTCGTCAGGATCTATTGATTGCATTATAAACATTTTCATTTATTTGTTAAACATACAATAACTTCCATTAGCGCGAATTCATATAAGGTGGTGTTACCGGAAATAGAATAAATAAATTATATGTACATCAGAAAATTAATAAGATGAAATGAAATTATTGTTTGATTTCTAACCAAACCTATGTATGTAACTCAATTGCCTAATGGTTTGCCGAACCGTAAACATATGTTTACTCGCACCTTTTTTAAGAAGTTTCACTTCTATTATGTGTACGGTGTTACACACGCATTTTTTTTAAGATTCTAATTAAAAATTTTGAAATTTCGGCGAAACAGCGCAGAATTAATATTTACAGTTTTTTGCACAAAGTTGGAAATTTGGTATTATGTATGTATATGGGTTCTGTTAAGAAAAAATATAAACATTAAACAAACTAAGGAAAAATAGCCAAACCTTACTAAAGTGTCGAGTCCTAATTTCTACTTTGGCCACTGTAATTATTCCTCGATTCGAATCACAGGCATTCAGATTAGAAAATAATAACATTTCTGAAATTTACCGTTATATGCCGGCCGTAATTTTAATCCGATTTCAATAATTTTCAACGTTTTTCTTTTATGTGGCAAGCACAATAAAAATACCGAGTTTGGTATAAATTGGTAGACCGGTTACCGATATACATATGTATATGTGATCATAAGTNAAACATAAGTGGTATTCACGAAAGTGAGCAAGTGGCCTGGCAGTCTAGTAAAAGAGCAGATTAGCTCAAGCAACTACTGTTGCCAACAGTCGTTGCTTCAGCTAATCTGCTCTGTTGCCAGAGTGCCAGGCCACTTGCTCAATTTGGTGAATACCACTATACTGTATTCAAAAATCCCGTCTCATTTAGTATTACCGCGATGTACAATATTTTTATCCTATTACTTTTTTTGGTATTTAATTCAACATTTTTATAATTTTACACAAATTCGCCAAAAATCGATCGATTCGATTTGTTTCGCAGCACTTTCAGCAAAAATGATAATTGCTAAATCAACACGAGCAAGTTGAAATTTAATCTGTTCCAATAGCAGACCGGTTTACAGGGTTTAGCTCCCTATTCTAAGAAAGAAAGCTCCCGAAATTATGCCACAAAAGTTGGATTTCAAGTTGTAAGGAAAGGCACACAAATTTAAATTCCATTTTGAGCGGCATATTTGTCGTAGCAACATACTTTGTAGCGCATTAGAAATCACAATAGTGATGCGATGAGTTTTGTGAATTTGTTAGAAAAGCGGGGTTAGTCAGAACTTACAGGAAGTCGTTCCTATACACATAAAACCTCTAAGTGGGAAAACTTTTGAGAGAGTAACCGAGCAACTGTTCCTAGCCAGAAGTTACAGGATTTAGTCCGGAGTTTTTTTTTCTTTTAAGTTCATGAAAAGTGTCAAACGATAGGCAGGGTTGCACATGTAAACAAAAACAGAACGTGGTGAAGGCAAAGAACCTTATATTTGTTAAAAAATGGAAGTAAACAACGAAATATTTAAATATGTACAGATTTTAATAATTATTTAGTGATATTTCAACCAAATCAGTGTTGTACCAATGTCATGTAAAAAACCGACTGACGTTTTTACAGGAAAAAGTGCTTTTTGCGTTCCCGTACACTTCGGAATCTATTCTCCTTTTACTCTTACTTGAGAGAGTAAAATTGTAAATTGACAGTTCCACAGGTTTTAGACCGAAGTTCAAAGGAACAGACTAATTATTTCTCAAAAGGGATTTGCGTTCTTTCACTTGCAGTTATTTTGCGGTTTTTATGTCAGAAAGTGATTTGTGCCAATATGTATGTAAAATGTTATTTTTGGGTGTTTACTCAGCAAAGTGGACTTTCGCTTTCGCATTTTGACAGGAAATTATACCAAGGCCTGTCATATGCCATTAAGAGTCATGGCTCAATGAACATACTTGTTGCATACACTCACATAGCTTCGAATGTCATGAAATATTTAACAAACTTCTTATTTCCTCGGCAGCATTATGATACTCAACATGCTCAACTTGTATTCGCTGATGTTCTCCTTCATTTACAACATCAACAGCAAGGAGGGGCCATTGCAATTGCTCAAGGAGCGGTACGACAACTCTACCGATGAAATGAATGAGTTAACACAACTAATTGAGGGCCTGAAAAACAGCGGTAGTAACAGTACTGAAGTGGGCCTGGCGCTCACTAATTTTAACGCAACTACCAGCAGTCTGCTAACGACAACCGCAGCTGCCACAACACTTTATGGCTGGACCACACGTCTGAAATGCCGCAATATCACAGTGAAATGCTCAAAACCAACGCGCATCAAGGTGAGAAATTTCGCGACAGCAACCACGATGTTTCTTCTCAACATAACCACCCCTTCAATGTTGTCGCACTTAACGGACGAGTCAAGCACGTTAACTACCCCACCTTACACAATAACACCTGCGACGGAAATTGATACAACGTGGACAGCGCAAGAAGAATTGAGCACCACCACACAATTCACTACAACAGAGCCGCCGACTCTAGCGATAGATACAACTTTGACCCCAATAATTGAATACACAGAGATCTCAACACAAACTGAAAGCACTGAGCCATCGACGACACTAGAATCCACCTCAACCACGACCTTAGCGCCAGGCAGTGATGATTTCTTCGACTATATGGATTATTTTGTAGGGATGCCACTCGAGCTCAGCGACACGCTGGAAGCGGCTGCGGCAACAGAGACAACGCGCAACAGTTTAAGTGCAACGACCGAAAATGTGCGGCGTGCTAGAAACCTCATAAATCTGCCACCACTGAGCCGCAAGCCCAGACAAGCTGCGCTGCCAACGCCAGATGAGCCAATGCAAATGCCAAAACAGAGCATGTATAGTCGACGACAAAATGAGCGGCACAGACAGAGCAGTGAAGACAACGAAGACTATTCGGCCGATGATTCAACGTCTACAACTATAAAAACATTACCTTTATCCACGCCAGTCGACGATGCCAGTTCCAGCACGGTTGTGACAAGTCGCCAGGTGCAACAGACGCATCAACAACAAAATGAAACATTGGAGTCGCCACAAAATGAATCATTGCCGACGTTACATGTCAATACTAAGCTGTTGGGTGAAGTATTGGCTTATTTTACAAGCTCAACATCCACTGTCGATCCACCAACCACAAAGTTTCCGCTTCCCAGAACAACAGTTTCAACAACAATTTCAACAATGATTCCAACAACATCAACTGAACTCGCCGGCAGCAGCACTCCATATTTCTTAGCGGAAGATGACATTCTTGACGAATCTACCGACACGATTAATTATGAGGCCAATGAAATCGATGAAGAAAATTTCGATACTTGCATTCGTACTATTTGTGATCCATATCCGGAAGAATACTTCAGTACAACAGACATAGATACAACAGCTACTCCAACTACAACCACACTGACGCCTATGGAGACTTATGAAATAAAATTGGCGAAAGTGAAGCAAAACATACATGAGGTTCAGCGTAATTTGACCAGTATGTGCTGGGAGACATCACTGGGCCAAGAGCTTGCGAAAGTTATCGTTTCGGATGGGGTAAGAAAAAATGAATTTATTGTAAATATGCTTTAGACTGTGTCAAATGAAACGACTATTTTTTTCCTTAGGTTCCATATGAAACTTTTGTTGTCGGTCCCAAAAAAAATAGTTGCGGCAAATTCCCGATCTTAGTTTTTAGGTTAGCTCTCGAAAAAATAAGAATTTTTAAGGAAAAATTATTTTCCGCTCCTTTTTACGACGCTTTTATCGACTTGCAATGTTGTGTGTGCAGACACAATTTTTAGCTATAATTATAGATTATAATCAAAGTTCCTATACAACAGTCTAGACATCAACCTCGGCGGTAGGCATTGCCGGAAGTAATTAAATATTGCGCCTAAAAATATGCACTCCATATGCTACAGCGGAAATGGACGACAAGCCATATGTACATACAAACAAACGAGCATAAAACATTTTGCTTGCATATGCATAAAATAAACCACACAAATNTACATACGAGCATAAAACATTTTGCTTGCATATGCATAAAATAAACCACACAAATATTTGCGCAAATACCAACTTTTACAAATAGGAATCGAATAAGAATCTTATTTGGACAAATTGTATTTGAGCAAATATTTGTGTGGTGTATTTTACGCAATAGTCTTCTGTTCTCTTTTCATTGCAAGTTAAATTATTTTAATATCTGTTGCAAAATTTTATACAGACAAGCCTAAAAGTACAAAATAAAAAAAAACTTATTAATATACCACGCATTTATAAATTGACTAAAAAGTAGAAAATAATATTTCTCAGTCCCATAGAANAAACTTATTAATATACCACGCTTTTATAAATTGACTAAAAAGTAGAAAATAATATT